AAATACATGTTTTACAATTTTAATGCAATTTGTTGATAATTATCCTTATTTCTCAAAATATTAGAATTTTTATCGATTAGTTATGTTTATATTTTTTTTGTCATAATCAATTGAATGTGTTGTGAATATTTGTTAGGATTGATTAAATAGTTATTTTCTATTAAATTGTATTTTTTTACCAGCCATTCATTTTATTTGTTACATTAACTAATATTTATTTTTAGCGCAATCTAAAAATATAAAAATACAATTAAATATAGATAAAATTGCATGGTTTTTCAATTTTCTATTTAAGCAATAGCTTGTCAATGTCATTAAGCTATGAGTGGTGAATAAGATTATACAGTAATTTTCAGATTTTTTAATTTAAAAAAAATTGTCTTTAATTGTTCTTCAATTTTTCCGGCAAGTCGCCGGAGCTTCGACGGAATCTGACGAGTCCACCACCCAAAAGACCCCAGTTGCTCTAACTTGTTCACTTCCCCAATTTTTCCGGTGAAAAGTCGCCCGAAACCCAACCCGTTCCTCTCTTCATTGCCCCATCTTCTCCGACAAGCCTCCACCACCCAACCCCACTGGTCAACCCTCTCCTCACTGCCGCCAGAAAACCAGCCAACGAAACGACCTCCAAGTCCCAAAACCCCCCTTCCTTTTCCCGTTACCATTTCCGGCAAAACAGCCACCGGAAATCTCCACACTCCTACCATCTTCTTCGACCAAGAAACCAACAACCTCAGCCCCTTGCTTCACTGTTTCAGCCACCAAACGACTCAATCTCCTCCACCTTTCCCACTCCTTTCTCCACCCAGACCAACACCAAAACGACTTCCTCCACCACAAAACCCCAAACCTTCCACCAAACAGCCCCAAACCCGCCTGAAACCGCTACCAGACCCCACTATTCTCTTCCTTGCTCCGGCAAAAACCAGTAACTCCTAAACCCCTACCCAAACTAGCAACAACCAGACCTACTTTGGCAAACAGCAGCTCCCGGAAATGAATCTCCACCTCGCACAGCTCCGACCACTGACCAGGCCGTAACTCCAACAACAGGTTTTTCCTTCGGTAACTTAATCTCTATACTGTTTGTTGCTTTCTTTCTTTTATTTTACTACTAACTAATCGTGAGTATTGATTGAATTCCATTATATTTGTTATTATTTCTAGTTACTGTTCGTCGAAAATTGAATATTCTCTTAAATTTTTATGGATTCACTGTTTTAAGTGTAATTTTATCAATGCCAGAAATAATACATCCTTCAAGTTGAATCATATAAATTTCTTCTTCTAAATCACCATTTAAAAAAGCTGTTTTTACGTCCATTTGATGGATAAAAAGCTTATGAATTAATGCTAAGGCAATTAAAATTTGAATAGAAGAAATTCTAGTCACTGGTGCAAATGTATCAAAATAATCAATAATTTATTTTTGAGAAAAATCTTTTGCTACTGACCGAGCTTTGTATTTTGAGAAAAATCTTTTGCTACTAATCGAGCTTTGTATTTATCTATAGATCCATCCGGATTAAGTTTCCTTTTGAAAATCAATTTGCAACCAATAGGTTTTGCACCAGGAGGTAAATTAGTTAAAATCCATGTATTGTTTTTCATAATTGAATCAATTTCAATTTTTATTGCCTCTTTCCAAAATTTAGCATCAGAAGAAGATTAACTTCAGAATAGTTTAATGGTTTGAAAATCGTTTCCATAAGAAAAGTATTCTTTCCTAGGCGTTTTACTCCTTCTTAGCTCTTCTATATTAGAAATAGACTCACTATTTCTTTCAGCAGGTACATGAAATTTTTTATCACATAGTGGAAAAATATGTTCAAAGAATTCAACATTTTTTGTCTCAATAATAGTATTGCAATCAAGCACATCACTCTTTAAAACAAGAAATCTATATGCAACACTATGTTCAGCATATCCAATAAGCATGCAATCAATTGTTTTAGAACCTATTTTCCTCTTCTTAGGTTCATGCAAGAGAACTTTAGCAAGACACCCTTATACTTTTAAATATTTCAAATTTGGTTTATAACCTTTCCACAATTCATAAGGTGTTTTGCTAGTTCTTTTATGAGGAATTCTATTTTGTAAGTGACATGTAGATAATATAGCTTCACCCCACAAATTATTAGGTGCATTAGAGCTTATTAACATAGAGTTCATCATTTCCTTTAATGATCTATTTTTCCTTTCAGCTACTCCATTAGATATGGGAGAGTAAGGTGGAGTTACTTCATGAATAATTTCTTTTTTTTCACAAAGGGCATTTAAGGATAAATATTCTCCACCTCTATCAGATCTAATTCTCCTGATTTTTCTATTAAGTTGATTTTCAACTTTAGTTTTATAAGAAATAAAGGCATTAAAAGCATCATCTTTATTTCTAAGTAAATATAACTTAGTAAATCTAGAAAAATCATCAATAAAAGTCACGTAGTATCTTTTATCACCTCTAGTCATTGTTTGTTTTAAATCACCTAAATTAGTGTGAATTTTTAGACAATAATTCAGTTTCTCTATTTTCAGCTTTTTAGTAATTATAGCTTCAACACATATTTCACATTTATTAATATTATTTGAATCTAAGTCAGATATCAAACCAAGTGATTGCATATTTTTTATATAAGAGAAATTAACATGTCCTAATCTAGCATGCCATAAAGAAATAGATTCAATCATGTAAGCAGAAGTAGATGCTTTTTCATTCACAACATTACAACCATTAAGTACAAAAAGTCCCTGGTTACAATAGCCTTTTCCCACAAACACGTTATTTTTTGTCAGTATGATCTTTTCAGATTCTAATGACACTTTCACTCCAGCTTTATTAAGCAAGGCTACGAAAATTAGGTTTGCACGCATTGTAGGAACATGTAGCACATCCATAAGGGCTAAGGTTTTTTCCGAAGTAAGTTTCAGGAGCACTTTACCCTTACCCAAGACTTTAGTAGTTCTTGAGTCTCCAAGGTAGACTACTTCACCGTCATCCCCTATTGATGTTTAGGAGGAAATGCTTCTCGATTTGCACAAATGTGCTGAGTAGCCCCAGAGTCTTACCACCCATTCTTTTGTATGTGCTACAATGTTTACTCGAGAAATGACATTTGCAATAATTTTATCTCCTTTAGCTAAATTAGCCTGGGGAGGATAACCCTTTTCTTTGTCATTTTTTATTCTCCTCCTACACTGTGCGACATGATGACCTGGTTTTCCACTAGTAAAACAAGAACCTTTCTTTTGCTTAAAATTGGAATTATAAAGCTTGTAACCATTAGACTTATTACCATACCTTTTGTTATTGCTGCTTTGACCTTGTACTAAGTTTGCCTTGAACGCCAACTCTTTTGCTTTGAATGATTCCTTTCTGTGATGTCTTCAATTAGAATGTGAGTTACTATTTGCTCAATAGTGAAATTTGTCAGTTTGTGCTTTAAGTTATTTTTGTAATCATTTCACAAGTCTCGTAATTTTTCAATCAGCACTCCAACAACAAGTTTTTCTGGTAGAGTGATCCCCTCGGCCTTCAAGTGTCTTCAAACAATTTTTGATATTCATTAATTTGAATTTTCATCTCCTTTTCATTACTCATCTGCCATTGATAAAATCTTCCGACCACAAACTTTTGTTTCGTAGCATCTTCGTCAGTGAACTTCTTAATCAAGGCTTCCCAAATGACTTTTGCTTCTTTGCAGCTATAGTATACATCAAATAGTTCATTAGAAATAGTTTGTAATATAGTATGACGACATATCTTATTGGCATATTGCCATGATTTCAAAATTTTGTTATCAACATCTGCACATGGTTGTGGATGTAATAGTGCATGTGCAACGCCATGAACATTGAGCAATGAAAAAACACGTTCTTGCCACCTTTTGAAATTTTCATTAGCAAAAATTTCAACATTTGACACATCCGGAAATGGTTTGGCATATGGTAGGACAATTGGAACTGGAGAAACGGGGGTAGCACTAACATTGGTAGTGTCAAAAATAGTTTTGGAAGTATTATTATTATTTGCCATAGTTTCTTAGATTGTTGGAAAATTTATATATGGAGAAAATATAATATCAAAATAATAATATGATAATTAAGATAAAAACTACTACAATAATATTCTTATATAATATACATGTATATATAAATAATACTTGAGTCGTGCTAGGCACTGTCCTAAGGAACTATTTCACCAGTGTGAAATGTTTCTCCAGGATTAAACAAGTCTTTCCTAATTAATTAGAGGATACATGAATCAACAAAATATAAATAATACAAAAGAATGCAAGTTGAAAGAAGATATTAAGAGTTGGCTAAGTACTAATCCTTTTCTAAGTTGTGTTTCTTCAATACTAACCAACCAAGTATTATTTATATATATTATATATATATATATATATATATTATTTTTTTTATAACTGAGAAATCCGTCAGTGACCCGCCCATTGGACCAATCACAGCCTTCTAAACTCGGTGGATAATGGGCCCGCCCCTCTACCCGTCTCCACTTAAATACGGGGCTTCGCTTTGCATGGTGTGGGGCTTATATAATATATATGTATATTATATAAGAATATTATTGTAGTAGTTTTTATCTTAATTATCATATTATTATTTTGATATTATATTTTTCCCATATGTAAATTTTCCAACTTTAAGTCGGTAACTTCTTTGGGACAATAAGTGGAAACTTAGTGTAAATGTATAATATAAGCTTCATTTTGCTCTTTATTGCTTTAGAAATGGTTTCTATAGCATTTTACTTGTTTTATGTTTTATTATTGGGTTCTTTGTAACAACTTGTTTGGATAGTTGTTACTATTTGTATTGTATTGTTTCGTTAAATTCATCCTTAGGTAACAACTTAAAGTCCCATTTTGTGTTGCGACTGATTTGGTGTCGTTTAGTTTCAAAAACAACAATATAGCCAGTGTGATCTCACAAGTGGAGTCTGGGCAAGCAAGCTTCTTTTGCTTATTTATAAAAGAAAAAAACAAGCTTCTTACTTATGCAACTGTCTTACTCTTTCCTGAATTGGCAGCTGATTGGTTCTGGTTTGCAAAGAAAAAAAATGTTTGACTGATCATATAGTGATTGTAATGTGGGTATGCTTATCATTCTAAAAAAAAGTGATTGTAATGTAGTTTGTTAAATGTGATGCCACATTTTGAACCTTTTTTCACTCACTACATAGGAATGGAAAAGCTGTCATTTGGAGAAATGAAAATCTTAGTTTTGTTGGAACAACTGGTGCTACTTTTTGGTTGCACAAACAGGCTGGTAAGGAGAGTGCCTATATCTTGTCAGGACCAATAGTGCCATGTCTGTGCTGAGGTCAATATTGCCATGTCACAGAGGCAGGTAAGAACAATGTGATGTAACTTTTATCTTATCTATCTGTATCATATTACTGCCAGCATTTATCTAAATCATTCTTGTTTGATTGAAGATGTGGCAAGACATCTATCTAACATTGCTTAGATTTTATTTGCGGACATTAATTTGCATTTCAGACTATCTCCCCCGCCTCTATTTTACTCTCCATTCTCTATGTTTGGAGAGTAAAATAGAGAATGGGCTCTCCAACCACACTTTAATTCACTCTCTATTCTCCATTTATTTGGGAAAAAAGAAGAAGAAAAGAAATGATATTATGAAATAAGAAAATAAGATTGATATAGAAATAATATTATAATATTGAGGAGAGAGAAAAAAATTCTTTTTATAGAGAGTAAAATAGAGAATTGGTTGGAGTTGGTTGTTTGAAAAAATAGAGAACTCTATATTTAGAGAGTAAAATAGAGGGTAAGGTTGGAAATGCCCTAAGGCGTACAAAGTTCAACTGGAAATGCAAATCAACGGTTGTTTTGATTGATAGTAACTCTTTTTCTTTCTTGGCTAGGTGACAAAGAAGTATATTTTCTAGAAGTGGTAATAATTAATAAAGAACTGTAAACAGCTAAGGAAAAGCATTTTGTATGCTGATGAGGTTTTTTCCCAGACAAACAGGCATGTTTAGTTCCAACAGGAGAAAAAACACACCTATCCTACACCGTTATCAAAAACATACCTAGGCCTACATGTAGATGATGACAAGTGTAAACAAAAAAAGGGGCTAAGTTACTTGATTGCAGCTTGAATTGCATCTAAAGAAGTCTTTTTTGGAAGTGCTAATGGAGCAAAAAGCCCTCTCACCTGTGAGAGAACATGTAGTGAGTTTAAGTGAATTAGGTGGTGTGAGAAATATAGGAAAAGAATATTATTGAATTGTTCTCTCTACATTATTACATTGAGACCCTATTTATACACTACATTAGACTCCTTTTCCAACTAGGACACTACAATACAATTCTTTTCTAAGTAGGATTCTATATACTATTTCTATTCCTGTTACTATTCTAAGTAGGATGGTATATATTTGTCTTGTTCCTATTCCTATTGTAACACTCTCCCTCAAGCTGGTGCATACAAGTCATATGTACCTAGCTTGTTACAAATGCAATTAATACGAGGACCGATGGGGGACTTGAGGAAGATATTTGCAAGTTGATCACTTGACTCACAAATTTTGTAACAATATCTCCCAACTTTCCAAACCAAGCGTGAGAAGAACGTTTCAGACCATAGAGTGACTTGCGCAATTGACATATAAGGCTACTAGACTGACCCTAAGCAACAAAACCAAATGGTTGCTCCATATAGACTTCTTCATCAAGATCATCATGAAGAAAGTATCACTGTAATCCAACCCAAATACCTGAGTCTATCCTTTTGGCAAAAGTGAATCTAAAACAAAGAGAATATTGCTGGAAAACTCAAATTTGTTGGAAACTCAGATCTGTTGGATTTTGCACAACATTGACAAAGTTGAAACTATGTAAATTAGATCTGAAGACTCATCGAAAAGACGCACAATGCTACGTAAATTAGATATGAGAAAGTAGTCCCCAAAAAGATGTACGATGCTGCGCAAATTATATATGAGAAAGTAGTCACCGAAAGGATGGCACGGTGCTACATAAATTATAGCCCCCTAAAGTTGGCATCAATTTTCACTTAGACACCTCAACTAGGCGATGTTCATTTTAGACACCTCATGTAGGATTCTGCTGTGTCATTTTGACACTTTTTGTTGACTCATCAAAACATGTGTGTTACACGAATTTTATGCGCGTGAAACGTTTTTTTTTCTTGGAAAATATTTTTGCTCTCTTCTTCTTCCTCACTCTTCTTTTCCTACAACTTCTCCACCTTCCATCACCCTCCATCACATCCACACAAATTTTTGAAAAAATTCTGCAAAATTTTGTTGGGTTACATCATAATTCAATTTCTTCAATAAAGAGTCAATTTCTTTAGCAACCTCACTAGAAAAAATGAAGACCATCATCATTTTCTAAGAATTTGTGATAATCTTTTTTTCTTTTTAAAATCAAATCACATAAATTTTAAGCTCTACTATATTAATGGTGTCTGCTACTACAACTATATAAAAAACTTCCGCCCCCAAGAATAATGAAAAGTTCTCTTAATTTTTAGTTTTCTTACTGCAAATTACCCTAATTTTCTGGGTCCTTAACAACGAAAATGGGAGGAACAAGACATTACACTCCTTGAACAACATTTTCCCATAGCATTCATAACTAAATCCCCAATTTATTCCTCCGTCTGCATCTTCATCATATAAATAATATTGTTATTTTTCTTTCAAGATGCATTTCGATTTTCAAGAAAGGAGGAATTAAGGAATGTAACACAAGGAATCAAAATTTTGTATACCGCAAGAAGAACACATGAATTTTAATGGGTTTGAAAAAGAAGAACACAAAGAAAGAACTAGAAGGCACGAAGAAGAAGCAGAAAGTGTGGGCGTGGCAATGGGGTTAGATATTCTGAAGGAAAAAATTGAAAGTAAAAGTGAGCTTTTTTAAAAAAATAAAAAAAATTATTTTTCCACGTAGGAAGCGTTTGGATACACACTTAAGCTAGTTTTGAGAATATAAAAAAAGTGTCAAAATGACACAACTGACCTCCACATGAGGTGTTTAAAATGAACAAAGCTTAGTTAAAGGGGTCTAAGTGAAAATTGGTGCCAACTTTAGGGGGGCACCGATGGGTTTGACCTAAATTAAATATGAAAAAGTAGTTATTGGAAAGATGGCATGGTGCTACACAAATTAAATATGAAAAAATAGTCACCGAAAAGATGGCACAATGCTACACAAAAGTAAATAGTCACCGGAATGATGGAACGATACTACAAAAATTAGATATGAGAGAGTAGTCACCGGAAGGATGGCACAATGCTACATAAATTAAACATGAAAAAATAGTCACCGGAAAGATGACACGGTGCTACACAATTTAAATATAAAAAAATAGTCACCGGAAAGATGACATCGTGCTACACAAATTAGATATAAGAAAGTAGTCACCGGAATGATGACACGGCACTACACAAATCAGATATGAGAAAGTAGTCGCTAGAAAGATGGCACGATGCTCCACAAACACTGACTGATACGGGGTTGACACAAAACAACCCTAGAAAGTCGTAGGAAGTTGACGCATGACCTTTCTGGCTAAGTTTTCTTCCCCTGAATATGGTGTTCATGCATATATCACTTGCCTTACTTTGGTTAACATAACCAATAACAAGACGGGCAGCATATATGAGTCATAGCCGCCCGCCAGCAGCGGAATCTTTTTTTGATTTTCTACCAAGATCGTAGGAGCTCTGATACCATGTGAGAAATATAGGAAAAGAATATTATTGAATTGCTCTCTCTACATTATTACATTGAGACCCTATTTATAGACGCTACATTAAGACTCCTTTTCCAACTAGGACTACAATACAATTCTTTTCTAAGTAAGATTCTGTATACTATTTCGATTCCTATTACTATCTAAGTAGGATGGTACAATTCAAATTGCCAACCTGCTGTTTTCTTGGTTTGAAGGAACTAATTTAGCTCACATCACATGGTCATAGATTGATCTAAAGAGGCATAAACTTCACTCATGTGATACAACTTGCTTCATCCGTAGGTAGTGACACCAATTGCAAAAAGTCTTATGCCCCATGGTGATCAAACCTCAATCAATTTTGAGATGTAGAATTTGCTATCTTTTCAATGTTATGGTGGTAGGTGGTAGGTCATCCTAGATTATTTAACTAACTTCTAAATAGCTACCCTATGACACTGTCTAGATAAGGGTAATGAACCCTCAAGCTGCTGCAAGCACACTGATGTGCTTCATTAAAGTTTAGCATTTTTTATATTAACATAAAATGACGCAATTTATTCCTTGTAAAACAGTAACTCGGATTGATGCTCACACCCAACTAACCAAGTACATAAGCTGCCATGCCAGTCTGTGATGCTAGTTTGTGTTAATAATGTCAAACTTTTCTTTGTGTAAGAGTTACTTTTTGATGAGCTAGGCAAAATGAATATTACTGTAGTGATAAAATGGAGAATGGATAAAGGCATGGGAAGAAAAGAGAAAGGAGAGAAAAAAGAAGAATACAGAGGGAGAAGGTAGTGAAATAATGAGAGGGAGAGAGTGATAGAGAGAATGAGAGAAAAGCATAGTAGAGTGGAGAATAGAGAAAGAAATAAAGGGTAAGAGAAGGCAAAAGAGGAAGAGGTAGAGGAGAGAAAGGTGAGAGGGAGATTGTGATAGCCTCAGTTCAATTTGCGAAGTTATATGTCCTCAAAAGAATTTACGGGTCATATCTACAGAATAGGCAGCTTTATAATTTATAACTCGTGAAACAGTAAGTCTCTATGCTGGTTATGTTTCTTTTATGGCTACGTCAAATTTATTCATTGGAAAGTAGAAATAAGAGTGCAAAGAAGAGGAGAATTAAGTCTTTAATAAAATACTTAACATAACATCAACATTAGCGGAACAGAGACTTCTAATTTCCTTAATGAAAAGGTCGGGGGGGCGGGGGGGGGTAAAAAAGGGAATATACTATCCTTCTATCTCGCGCATGATTGAATGGAAGAATTATGTATATCTTACAATGCAACTCTATAAAATCCGTCCATTCCATTTCCATTTCCTCACCTAAACCAATTTTAGAATTGCCACATACTCTAAACGAACAGGCAGGTTCAATCTCATCGGTATACTTGCACATATAAAAATAATTGAAACTGGATAATTTGCAAGACCTTCTCAACCGTTGGAGTTGATGAGTGTGTAGTGTACCGTGAGTAAAAGAATCTTTTGAATGTCTTTACTATCAAGGATTATGAATGAACAAGTTATGACAAAAGGATGCAAGGGATGAATTGGCGGATGTGCTTTAAATGCATGTCTTGATAGTTGGAAATGGTCATCTGACTCAAGAAGGCAAAGAGAGTCTGAGATTGTTCACCTCTTTCATTTAAGTTCTGAAAGAAGTGATATTTGTAAAGAAAAAAAATAAAATTCATGTCCCAAATTGGAAAGTGGGAAGGTTGATAGGAATGTGTAGATTGTCAAAAAGATTTGCCCATCATATGAGTCCTCTTGAAAGCAATTTAAGGCGTACACATCCGTTAGGATAAAGTAGGGATCATAGAAGGATATTCTGATGCTTTGTTAGCAAATATTTAAGTCATTCAAATGCCAACAACCTAATTTACATGTATCATTTATACCCAAGAATAATTTCACCCTCTCAAGTTTTATTAATCTAGGTAATTTGTTCGACCTGGGTGTAGGACTTAACTTGATAGGTCCAGCTTTGAAAGAGGGTATTCAGAACCCTCTGATGTACAACTAGATAACCTATCCTCAAAATCGACTGCATAAACATTCACTTCCATGTATTCCCTAGCTGTACTGTGAGCTTCAAATTCCCTTTTTGTTCTTAACATTGTTGTGGCATTTTGACTATTGATATGATGCTTTCTTCTTCCTATCACACTTTCCAGATAGAGGACGAATTCTAACGCGTAATCTTTGGTCTGCATATTGATTTCATTTTCTGTTGTGTCTTTGCAGATTATTATTGGCCTTCAAAGGCTGGCGTTCCACAAAATCTCTGTCATTCTCCTCTTTCTGGTGCAAGTTATACTCAAGTGGAAGTTACAATGAGGTATTATCAAATGGTGTTGCAAGCAAGAAAAAAGATTTCGATTTTGAGCGTTTATTCCACTCCTGTACCAAAATCTACATTTTGAAGTGCCTTCATGCCCTACTCATTGTGTCAGGGAAGGCTCAGAGTATCTTTATTGGCACTAGACTTGTGAATCTTTATGCTCACTTGGGTGACGTTTCTTTGTCACAGAAGACTTTCTGCTTGATAGAGAATAAAGATGCTTATACCTGGAATTCTATGATATCATCTTATGTTCGTAATGGCCATTTCCGTGAATCCCTGAATTGTTTGAATGAAATGTTGTCCACAGCTGATGTTAAGCCTGACTTTTACACTTTTCCTCCAGTGTTGAAAGCTTGTAATAGTATAATTGATGGTGTAAGGATACACTGCTGGGCTTCAAAACTTGGGTTAGAGTGGGATGTATTTGTAGCTGCCTCCTTGGTGCATATGTATTGCCGTTTCCAATCTTCTGGTGTTGCCTTTAGAATTTTTAAGGACATGCCTTATCGGGATATGGGTTGTTGGAATGCTATGATATCTGGGTTTTGTCAGAATGGAAATGCTACGGATGCATTGAGCTTGTTGGATGAGATGAGATTAGAGGGTATAAAAATGGATACAGTGACTATTGCAGTAGTACTTCCTATATGTGCACAGCTTGGTGATATTGTGCATGGATTGTCAATTCACTTGTATGTTATAAAGCATGGCCTAGAATTAGATGTCTTTGTGTCGAATGCTTTAATAAACATGTATGCCAGATTTGGTGAGTCAAGGCATGCACAAAAAGTATTTGATGATATGATGGTAGTAAGAGATTTAGTATCATGGAACTCTTTAATTGCTGCATACGAGCAGAATAATGTTCCCGAAAAAGCACTGAAGTACTTTCAAGAGATGATGATAAATGGGATTCAGCCTGACTTGTTGACATTGGTGAGCTTAGCTTCTAGTATAGCTCAAACCAAAGGTTTTCGTTGTTGCAGATCGGTTCATGGATTTGTATTAAGGAGATCTTGGATTCAGGATGATGTTATTATGGGTAATGCTGTTGTGGATATGTATGCGAAGTTGGGTCTTATTCATTGTAGTCGTAAGGTTTTTGACGAGATCCCTATAAAGGATGTAGTGTCATGGAACTCAATGATCACAGGTTATGCTCAAAATGGACTTGCAAGTGAGGCTATTGAAATTTACAACATGATGAAAGAGTGTGATGACATAGAACCAAACCAAGGAACTTGGGTGAGCATTTTGCCAGCTTATGCTCATCTAGGGGCATTGCAAGAAGGAACAAGGACTCATGGGCATGTTTTCAAAGTAGCTCTTAATTTGGACGTCTTTGTTAGTACGTCCCTCATTGACCTTTATGGAAAATGTGGAAAACTGGATGAAGCCATGTTATTGTTTCATGAGGTGCCTAGAATGAGTTCAGTCCCTTGGAATGCCATAATATCATGTCATGGTATTCATGGAAATGGTAGGGTTTCTCTGAAACTGTTTAATGCTATGCTGAATGCAGGTGTTAAACCAGATCATGTAACATTTTTATCTCTATTGGCTGCTTGTAGCCATTCAGGCTTAGTTGATGAGGGTAAAACTTACTTTCATATGATGGAGCAAGAGTTTGGCATTAAACCTGTTCTAAAGCACTATGGCTGCATGGTTGATCTGCTTGCCAGGGCTGGGGGCCTAGAAACGGCGTACCAATTTATAAAAAACATGCCTTTGCAACCAGATGCTTCAGTTTGGGGTGCTCTTCTTGGTGCATGTAGAGTACATGGAAATGTTGAGCTGGGTAAATTGGCTTCAGATAATTTGTTTGAAGTTGATCCAGAGAATGTTGGCTACTATGTAGTGCTGTCCAACATCTATGCTAATTATGGGAAATGGGAGGGGGTGAATGAAGTGAGATCATTGGCTAGAGACAAGGGGTTGAAGAAGACTCCTGGATGGAGCTCAATTGACCTAAACAATAAGATTGAAGTCTTTTATACAGGAAATCAGTCTCATCCACAATGCCATGAGATATATGGGGAATTAGGTATTTTAACTGCTAAGATCAAGACCTTAGGTTATACTCCAGATTATACCTTTGTATTACAAGATGTCGAGGATGACGAGAAGGAACAAATCCTTACCAGTCATAGTGAGAGATTGGCTATTGCTTATGGAATTCTTAACACTCCTCCTAAAAGTCCTTTACGGATCTATAAAAATTTACGGGTTTGTGGCGACTGCCACAATGTAACTAAACTAATTTCTAAGATTACAGAGAGAGAGATTATTGTAAGGGACTCCAATCGCTTTCATCACTTCAAGAATGGTGTTTGTTCCTGTGGGGATTACTGGTAACATATGCCCATAGTTCTGCAGAGAAATTTAAACCTTTTAAGGTTGGCATCATTATGCTGTAGCTGCTGCAAGAAATGTAATTTGTTCTTCTCAAGCTGTTGTACTGTACTGTGAATGATGAATCCTCACAGTCGTTCTTTTTCTGGAATTCACTCTTCCCTGTTCTTGATCTGAAAATAAAGAAAGGTCTTTCAAATTTAAACTCGATTTTGGTTCGCTACCAAATTCATTGATTAAAGTTAAGAACTCGTCAATTTGCAAAACGAAATCGGGATTTGGCCGAAAAAGAAGCAAGACTACGACCTATGGATACCATGACCAATCACCATCGATAAAGAAGAATCTTTTCACTTCGTGTCTTCAAGCATCCAAAATACACCGGGAATGGAACAGAGAATTTTATGGAGGTATCATTTACTTCTCTTGCATATTTACTTTTGTTTAGTGTTGTAGTCACATAATTGCCATTTGATGCAAGTAAAATTAAATTTTTTAGATCTTTTTAAATCACTGCAACAAATTTTCTTTTGGAATGAGGAGTATATATTTGTTAGTTTTAAGGTCTAACAAGACATTCCTCTAAGTGAGCTAAGTTGACTAAAATCAATTGATATGTTTGTCTTCTGTGAGGCAGAGACATGCTCATTTTTTACCATTTCAAACTATTAGATAATTTATCCATTACCTTTTTTATTTGTCTGCCTGAGAAATAAATTCAGGAAATAGAGCTTTCACTTTTATCACTTTCTATATTTCCTGTTGCAGACTTGACAAAGGTATATGTGTATATCGTTTCCTTGGTTGTGCACTTGTGCTGGTCCAACTCAACACTGCTTATGCTTCATTTCACCAGTCTTAAGATGAGAAGTGTCTTGTTATTGAATTTGCTGGTAAGAATTTTGTGACGGTTACAGAGTGTGATTGCTCTGTTGTTCTTTGAAACCATTCATTGACTTTGTGTATGTGTCACGAGACTTTTGGTATTAGCTTGTACATTTTGTTGTTACAAACTTACTACTACCTTTCAATTGAACATCCTACTATTTTCTGTCTGGAAGGCAGTTTGATTAGGCTGGTTTTCTCACATGGAGGGAGGAACATATGCTGTTGCGGATTTCTACTTTACTAGATCATGAGAACGCACTAAACTTATTGCTTGTGATTTTACCTTCGTGTTGTGTAAGTTGCTGGTGCCTTGAATTTGTATTCTGAAGTCTCGAATATGTATACTCAAATGCTTTATTAGCCTCCTTTCTATACTCTTAAATGGTTGAACCTGGAGAGCTCCAGGAACTTTCTCCTCTTTCATTCCCCCACTCGCAAACAAAGAACTAAAAAATCTAAACCTATCACATTTGTCATCTGTTGAGTCCTTTTAGCCAACTCTTAGACTTTGATGTTTACTCTTTGAGTTGAACCCAATATTTCTTTCCAGTATTATTTGTGCTCTTTCGTCGTTTATAGTCGAATGCTTCATGTTGTACAAGTGTATTTGTGCTGTTTATTTATTTATTGTCAAGGTCTTTACATGTACAAGTGTTATATGTTTTTTTTTTTTTTGATAAAGTTAAAGTTACAAGTGTTATATGTTCATACACATTTATAATTAGATTGCTAATATGCCTCTGTGGAAATACTTGAACTTTGTTAACTTCTTGGTTAGTATTTGCTTTGAGTCGATAATCTACGGAAGTTTTTTGGATGTCAGATTATTTCATGTCTCGAATCTAGGCTTCAACTCTGATTACCGTCGCAACAGGATAGCAGAAAATATTAACAGGAACTTTATCAAGTCATGCTGTCATTTCATCTTGGCTGGTTCCATATTTCGATCTCTAGTGCAATGTTATCAACTGTTCAAGCATGAGACTGGCAGGCGGTGAACCAAAATCAGAGGCTGTTGCCACCCCAGATATTTCGCCGAAGGTAAAGATATTGGAAGAAGTTCGAACCTCTGTCAGTGGAGAAGTGTTCTGCTCCCAAGCTGCTACCAGAATAAATAGGAAAATGGTGTATACAATAGAGATATCAGAATATCATATGTTGCTTTATGTATAACAAGTTTTGCCTTATTGTTCTACAGGACTGTATGGTGTGTATTTGTTAGATTGTAAGGCCTCGAATGATGGTTGTTGATCACTTTTTGGTTGAAATACCGTTGTAGCGACTATTTTTCAATTATAGGAGCTGAGAAGTTCTATTTGTGAATTTTATTTCAAAGTGAAACGATGACCTGTTGGCAAGTCAAACACTTCGAAACAAAATTTGCAATATCTCTCTTCACACCACATCTGCAATATCTCTCTTCATACCGCACTCCGATGGATGGAATATCGGGAACAATGGGCCTCCTCAAGAATCAGTTTAATCAACTTACCCACTTGGGCATACAAATACTGCCTCCTATCCGCAAGACACCATAAGAATCAAAGGACAGCCTCCTTGGCTTCCCCTCCTATCACCTTGTCTCGAATGTGGCATAGTTTCTCATCATCAAACTGGTGCTCACGAATTTGCTCAACTAAGGAAGAACGAGCTTCAATAAAAGCAATCAAACCACCCGTCCCCTTAAAAATCTGCAACCAGACAAGACTGTTGGCTAATCTCTAGACATCTCTAGCCAATGGTCTCTCCTCCACACTAATAGTGGCATACATCCCATGCTAGAAGTCTTCTTACTCAAAGTACCGGTCACCACATTGGCCTTCCTTGGATGATACAAAATAGTAATATCATAGTCCTTCAATAGCTCAAGCCATCTGCGATGCCTCAAGTTTAGATCCTTCTACTTGAATATATATTGAAGACTCTGATGATCTGTGAAAACCTCACAATGAACTCCATACAAATAGTGTCGCACAACTTAAGCACAAACACTGCAACTGCCAATTCTAAATCATGGGTAGGGTAGTTCCTCTCATGGGTCTTCAACTGCCTAAAAGCATAGGCAATCACCTTATTCTTTTGCATCAGAACACCACCTAACCTGACTCTAGAAGCATCACAATAAATAGTGAAATCCCTTGGGTAAGTCAAAATAAGAGCCGATGTCAACAAAGTCTTGAGCTTTTGAAAGCTCTCCTCACACTCATTCGACCACTGGAAACTTGCACTCTGACGAGTCAATCTAGTCAAGGGAGATGTAATAGTAGAGAAGCTCTACACAAATCGTCAGTAATGGCGAGCAAGTCCCACAAAACTCTGGATCTCAGTAATCGATGTGGGTCTAGTCCAACCCATCACTACCTCGATCTTGGCTGGATCCACCCGAATACCCTCCTTGGACACCACGTGTCCCAAAAATGCAACAGAATCAAGCCAAAACTCATACTTCGAGAACTTGGCGTAAAGCTTTTCTTCCTTCAATCTCTGAAGTACAATTCTCAAATGTTGAATGTGGTCCTCCTCAGTCTTGGAGTACACCAAGATGTCATCAATCAACACTATCACAGAAGAATCCAAATAAGGTCAGAACACTCCGTTCATCAACTCCATGAACGTTGTAGGCGCGTTAGTCAAATCGAAAGACATCACAAGAAACTCATAGTGCCCATAAGAGTCTTGAAGGGTGTATTAGGGATATCCGATGCCCTAATCTTCAGTTGATGGTAACCGGATCTCAAATCAATATTAGAAAATAGAAATGCACCCTGAAGCTGATAAAACAAATCATCAATACGAGGAAGATGATACTTGTTCTTCACTATCACTTTGTTCAACTATCGATAATCAATACACATCCTCATGGATCTATCCTTCTTCCTCACAAACAATACAGGAGCACCATAGGGGGAAACACTAGGGCGAATGAACCCCTTACTCAACAAATCCTGCAACTGATCATTCAATTCTTTCAACTCGACTGGAGCCATACGATACATAGCAATAGAGATGGGCTTGGTCCCCGACTCAAAGTCAATAGCAAAATCGATATCCCTATCCGGAGGGAACACCTGGAAGACCAGTAGGAAACACATCTACAAACTCTCGAACCACGGGCACATAATCCATGGGAGGTGGATCAACTCTAGTATCCCGAATGAATGCCAAGTGGGAAAAACACCCTCTATCAACCAATATCTGAGCTCTAAGGAATGAGATGGCCTTGCTAGGGTAAGAACCACTAACACCCGTCCACTCAACTCTTGGGACACCTGGCATCGCTAAGGTCACAATCTTAGCATAACAATCAAGAATAACATGATGCGGAGCAAGCCAATCCATATCCAATATCAAAGTCTACCATCCCCAAAATGATAAGGTCTACCCAACTATCATACCCAGACAAAAAAAAAGACATGATCGATACACTCGATCCACTACTAAGGATTCACCCACTAGTGTAGAAACATGAATAGGCACATGCATGCAATCAGACATCATATCAAATTTAGCAGCAAAATAGGTAGGCACATATGAGAAAGTAGATCCCAGATCAAACAATACAGACGCATGTTGATGGAAAACTGGGACGATACCTATGATCACAACATCAGAAGTCTCAGCCTCAGGCAGACCTTCTTGGAAAAACATAGCACTGGCCATCTCGACCACGTACAACCTGAGTAGAACCTCTACCGCCACCCTACGGACCTGGAGTAACCTCTACCTGCCTGAGTTCTACCTCAACCCCTAGTCGGAGGCGCTGGATCCCTAGTTGGAGCAACTGAAAAATAATGTCGATGTCCTGAATGAGTCTATAGAGGACACTGTCTCATCAAATGAATTGGATCCCCACACGTATAATAAGATCTCGGCACAGATAATTGTTGCTGCGAATCAGAAGAACTACCTATGACCACATCGGCCAAAACCATAAGATCCTCGGGTTGACTACCCACTCTCGGCTGCTGGCATAGAAGCATGAGCCGTCCCACGACGTTGAAAAGAGCCACTACCTCTATGTGAACCTCTGCCTCCAGATGAGGTACCATAAAACTGACCAGAAGAACGATCCCTCTTGGGCTCCCCAAACTCATCTAAGACCATCAACTCTGCCTCCTTGGCGGTGCTCACAATAAACTGGAAGGAACCCCCTCTCTAACTGCCCTGAACATATAAGACTTGGCGGAGAAAGTCAACTCTCTCACAAACCGACGAACTCTATCTGCCTCATCTGGAATAATAGTCAAAGCATGTCTAGAAAGCTCATAGAAACGAACCTCATACTCGGTCATAGGAAAAATTCCTTGAACAAAGCTCTCAAATCTCAAACGACTCTCCTCCCTCACGCTCCAAGGAATGAAGTGGTCCTGGAAAGCACCAGAAAACACATCCCACTCTGCCGGATGAAATCCAACTTGTCTAAACCTCACAAAAGTCCTCCACCACTCTCTGGAGCGACCACGAAGCTGAAGTGCAACAAACCGAACACCACGAGCATCCACCATACCTACTGCCTTAAGCATCTTATGGCACAAGGTCAAGAACTTATGAGCATCCTCGCTCTTACCACCCTGAAACTGAGGTGGTTTCATTTTCTAAAACCTCTCATAACACTGATGATTTGCCGCTGTCAAAGTAACCACATGAGCAATCTGTGCACCAACATTAGGTGCGAGAACTAGTTATGGTTGGCGCACTAAGAAGCACCAATAACTACAAATTTATATCTTCAAAAACTTGGTCCAAATGCAGCTAATAGAAGGGGAAAACGATTACCACGTGTAAAGATCACGTTTCTAGGCACGGGGGCAATCTTTAATGGTAGAAATCGTCGAAAACTAACCTTCATCATGCAAGTACTCCATAGGAACCTTCTCTTAAGCTTTCTTTCTGGTTTGGAAGTAAAATGAAATGTTTTCATGGCTTAAAACGTTGAGTAAGACGACATACCACATTTTTTTACCCGACCCGGATTTTGCCCCGGCAGTCAGTAGTAAAACCCTCATAACTTTTTACTCTGATGTCGGTTGGATACGGGGTTTTATGTGTTGAAAACTAAACTCGCAGGCCTTCGATTTAATGGTCAATAGGCCTTCTAACTCTTTGTATATTGGGAGAAAACATCCAAGAAATTTGACTTAAAGTTAAGAAAATATTAATAGAGAAACTTCGATAACTTTTGCCGACTTTAGTTTCACTAATTTTCTTGACTTCAAAACTTAACATACGACCCTTGTGCTATTATAATACCTCATAACACACTATTCTTAGCATGTTTTACACTCATTGGCATATCCACAAGGTATGGGACAAGTTAAACCTTTCAAACAGGCGAAGTTCTACCCGTGCCATTTCTTTTATCATGAACTTTGTTTTAGGGGTCCCTTTGACCTAAAACTTTAGTTTAGTTCCTTGATATTTTCACCTACTTGCAATCTTAATCTCCAATGTTCGATACAAAGTCATAAACACCTCATATAACCATGCCATACTACGCCACATATATTATGCACGATTAGAGAAAAAGTACGGGATCTTACATTCTCCCCCCCTTATGAACATTCGCCCGCGAATGGATCTAAACAATTCCTTGGTTGTATTTTCTTTTTTTCTCACAGTACTATATTTGCGAGTCTATATTTGTTACAGTCGCAAACCTGAAGTCAAATTCTGAAAATTTTAACTACTAAGCTTTGCATAGCTATCTCGTAAGAAGACATATAAATTTCACCTTCAAGCTACTTAAAATATAACTAAGTCTTTGTGAAGAAATAATTGCCAATAATCGAAATATGACTCACCTTAAGTCGTAAACAGTTGGGGGTACTCCTTACTCATTTCCTCTTCCACTTCCTAAGTCATTTCCTCGACGTTGTTATTTCTCCATAACACTTTCACAGAAGGTACATCTTTATTTCGAAGCTTTCTTACTTGCCGATCTAAAATCATTATTGGTACCTCTGCATAAGATAAATCCTCAGCGATACAAATATTTTCAATGGGAATAATACGTGAAGGATCTCCAATGCACTTCCGCAACATAGAAACATGAAATACAGGATGAACCGCTTCCAATTCTGAAGGCAAATCAAGCTCGTATACCACCATACCGATCTTCTGAATAATCTTATACGGTCCAACGTACTTAGGACTGAGCTTCCCTTTTTTTACGAATCGCATGATGCCCTTCATAGGCGATACTTTCAGGAAAACCCAATCTTCTACCTCAAACTCTAAGTTCCATCGGCGAACATCTGCATAAGACTTCTGTTGACACTGTGCTGTATGAAGCCGATCTTTAATAAGCTTAACCTTTTCAATCACTTGTTGGACTAGATTCGGACCTAGCAAATCTGCTTCCCCGAGCTCAAACCAACCTATTGGGGACCTACACTTCCGCCCGTATAGTGCTTCGTAAGGGGCCATCTGAATACTACCTTGAAAGTTGTTATTATAAGCGAACTCGATAAGAGGAAGATGTTGATCCCAACTTCCTTTAAAATCCAACACAGAAGCACGTAACATATCCTCAACCGTATAAATAGTACGTTCTGCCTGTCCATTAATTTGTGGATGAAAAGAGGTGCTAAGATTTACCTGAGTCCCTAGACCTTTCTGAAACGATCTCCAAAAATGTGCTATAAATTGAGCTCATTGATCTGAGATAATAGATAATGAAACTCCGTGAAGGAGAACAATCTCCTGAATGTAAAGCCGAGCATAATCTTCAACTGAATATATTGTCCTAACTCACAAGAAATGAGCAGATTTTGTCAATCTATCGATAATTACCCAAATGGAATCAAACCTTCGTGGAATGCGAGGAAAACCAGTGATGAAGTCCATATTTATCATAGCCTATTTCCATAACGAAAGCTCAATATACTGGGTTAGGCCTCCAAGCCTTTGATGCTCTGCTTTAACTTGTTGACAGTTAGAACATTCAGCTACCATCTCCACAATATCTTTTTTCATGCCATTCCACCAATAGATTTGTCGAAGGTCCTGATACATGTTCGTCACTCCAGGGTGAGATGCATATCTAGAATAATGGGCCTCTGAAAGAATATTTGTTTGGAGCTTCCTAACTGCCGATACATATAAGCGATCCTGGTATCTAAGGACTCCATCTCCAGTTAGCTCAAATAAGGGGTGTTGCTGCTGTGGAATCTTTTCCCTCAATTTCCTAAGCTCATGATCTTCATGTTGCCTCCTTTTCACTTCAGTCACAAAGGAATATTCTGCCATATTCTTAACGACAACACCTCCGCCTCCTGCATCTACCAAGCGTACTTGCAAATTAACTAGCTGGCACATGTCTTTCGTAATTCCAGCCTTATCAGCTTCAACATGACTTAGACTACCTATGGACTTCCGGCTGAGCGCATCAGCAACAACATTAGCTTTGTCGGGATGATATAAAATGTCAACATCGTAGTCCTTTAATAATTCTAGCCTCTCCTTTGTCATAGGTTCAACTCCCTCTACTTAAGTAACTACTAAAGGCTTTGGTGATCGATGAACAGATCTATATGAACCCCATATAGATAATGTTGCCAAATTTTTAGGGCAAAGACAACTGCAACTAACTCAAGATCGTGTGTAGGATAATTCTGCTCATGCTTCCGCAACTGTCTAGAGGCGTATGCAATAACCTTACCATGTTGCATAAGAACACAACCTAGTCCAATTCTTGAGGCATCACAATAAACAACATAGCCCTCATTACCATTTGGAAGAGTTAGGGACCACTGCAGTGGTAAGTTTTTATTTTAGTTCATGAAAGCTCTGCTCGCATGCCTCGTCACTGAAACTTCATTGCCTTATGTGTCAAATTTGTCAGTGGTGCAGAAATAGAAGAGAATCCCTCCACAAACCTTCGGTAATACCCCGCCAAGCCTAACAAGTTATGAACCTCCGTCGCATTCAAGGGCCTCGGCCAAGTCATCACTGCTTCAATCTTTTGTCCATCAACCTTAATACCTTCACTTGTAATAACATGACCAAGAAAAGCTACTGAGGTAAGCCAAAAATCACATTTAGAGAATTTAGCATATAATTTGCAATCTTAGAGAGTCTGCAATACAACTCGCAAGTGGTCTGCATACTTTGCTTCCGACTGTGAATATATAAGAATATCATCAATAAACACAATCACAAATTCATCCAAGAATGGTTTGAAGACCCGATTCATAAGATCCATAAAAGTTGCTGGGGTATTTGTAAGCCCAAAAGACATGACAAGGAACTCAAAATGGCCATACCTCGTCCTAAATGCTGTTTTTGGGATATCAACTTCCCTGACTCGCAACTGATGGTAACCAGACCGCAAGTCAATCTTGGAAAAGCATTTGACACCTTGTAACTGATTGAATAAGTCATCAATCTGTGGAAAAGGATATTTATTCTTTATAGTGACTTTATTTAGTTGTCTATAGTCAATACATATCCACAAGGATCCATCTTTCTTTCAAACAAAGAGCACTGGGGCACCCCATGGGGAAGTACTTGGCCTGATAAAGCCTTTATCGAGCAAGTCTTTCAGTTGTTTCTTCAATTCTGTTAGTTCTGTAGGTGCCATTCTATAGGGAGGAATCAATATAGGTTGCGAATCAGGAAGCAAGTCTATAGAGAAATCAATTTCCCTTTCGGGGGAATTCCTGGAAGATCATCAGGGAATACCATTGGAAATTCATTCACGATTGGAATTGACTGAAGAGTCATGGGCTCCTTATCGATATCTTGTACATGAACCATATGGTATATGCAACCTTTAGAAATCAACTTCCGATCCCTAAGGTATGAAATAAACTTACCCTTAGGTGTGGCTGCATTACCCTTCCACTCAAGGACTGGCTCACCTGGAAAGTAAAATTGGACTATCTTTGCACGATAATCAATATTAGCAAAGCAAGCTGCCAACCAATCCATACCCATGATAACATCAAAATCTAGCATAATCAACTCAACTAAATCAGCGGAGGTTGGATGGTCATTAATTAACACTGTACAACCCCGGTAGACACTGTTATACCTCATTTTAACTCGAGGTCAAAACGTGTACAACATATTGGTGATTTCCAAATTAATTAACTTGAGAAGTCGCCACCTAATTATTTTTTAAGGCAAATTAGGATACCTAAATTTTAACTATGTAATGCTAAAATTGACTTCAACTAAGGTCTACTAACTTATGTGATTCCAGGTAAGAGTTCTAATTTATCCTAAAGGGAAGGGGTAAGACATCCTCTAAGATTAGTTTTAAAACTATTAACCGGCCAAATTTAGGTTAATTAATTTTAAAAGAAAGATATGAGTACTAAGGATTAAGTAATTGGGTAACCAAGTTCGAAAAACATTTTTTATTTTTAAAAGCTTTTTGCAATTGTATTAGAATGAAAAAGAGTAACTTCTTTAGATCAATTTAAACAAATTCATGGCTAAAAAGGGTAATTAAAAAAAAACATTAGCTCATTGTTTGACAAAGTGCTTCCTTTAGGAAAAAGACTTTTTTTTTAAAGAAAAAATAAGAGTTTAAAACAAAATATTTTCTTCGTTGAAAGACATTGCCAAGTTTGAACAAGACTTAATAAATTAATGAGTTTAAAGTGATGCAAACGGGAGTGTTTCTTAAAAAAAGATTTGCCAAATAAAGTTTTTAAAAGATAAAGCGACTACTAAATGTTTGTCTCTAGCTAAAGATACCCAAATCCAAACATCTATATTATGTTACCTATTTGAGAATTCAAAAATAAAACATATTCTAATCACATAAGCAAGTATAAAATATAAAGAAAAATAAATAAACAAGTTAATGCTAAAATATAAATAGCCATGAGTGACTCCAAACGAGGCTCGCTTGTTTTGCTTGCTATTCGGAATAGTAAAAAATGTAGTGAAGACTCCATGTGCGGGTATGAGGATAATGTCAAGTCTATAAGACTTGAAATTTACTAGAGTCTTGAATCAAGACTCAATTTTGCTCCAAAGTGTACATGCGAAAATGGAGAACATAAGAATTAGAAAGGAAAATAACTATTAGATGAGGCAAATATACATTTTAATTATTCAAACCCAATATCAACACTTTAACAATAAGCACAAAACAAATTGAAATAAATTACGACACTTAGCTAACATTATTTAATGATTATATGTTGATGGAAAGAAAATAGAATTCCTTTAACTAATAGATTCATGGACATGCTAGGATAGTAACCAAATATCTCATGTAGTCTCCAAACACAAGTACGCCACCAAGTATAATATTTGAGGCCGAACTAATCTTGAAATCACTTACTTATAAAACATCATATAGTAGTATTCCTATTTTAATCTATAAGCAAAAAATACATCTTTTATGCCTCTTTAATATCATTGTTTCAATTAAAGAGAATAGAATCACTATGTACCACATAACATCCATTTATTGGGAATAATCCATTTTTTGAGTGAGGTATTAAAATACAGTGCCATGACTTCAAAATAGGAGTAAAATAAGGATATAAAAAAGAAAAAAAAAATAGCTTTAGCATTTTCATGTACTCTAGCTTTCATAAACTTTAAAAACTGTGCATATATATTTAAAACTAAAAAAAACGAATACAGCAGATTCCAACAAACTCTAAAGTAAAATAAATAAATAAAATAAAACTAATGCAGGGGTAATAACATGTTCAGTGAATAAACAAATCAATAAAGTTTTTATAAGAAATGTATCCATAGCATGTTAACTTTAAGTGATTCCTAGTATATAAATAAATAAATAATCAAATGGAAGAAACAAGACTAAACATTAGAACAGAAGAGTGACGAAAATACTCAAAACAAATTACATGCTACAATAGAAAACGAAGAGAGATGTATACTGACCTTCTTCGGGGCAGTGAACTAGGACGTCGGCCTCGACTACTCGGTATCTCGGATGTCCACGAATGGTAGAAATAAAAGGTTGTTGCAACTCCAAATCAAAGCAGAGAGAGGAAGAGATGTAAATACGGTATACGAGAGAATTGATTTATTTATTTATTCTTAGATAGATAAGATAAGTGAGCTATAAGAGATGGTGTAGCTGAAAAACTTGTCAAAACAGACACTTTCTCCTAATACTTATAGGATGGAATTAGGGTTCTTGATTTGGGCGGGATTTCTTTAAAATCAAGTCAAAAGAGCCGTTTGAATTTTGAACGTTATAGGTGAAATCTCTCTTCACGTGATTGACCAGACAGTAGCATGAAAATGGAGTACTCAACCTCTGTGCATAGTTGACAAAACTTGTTGCTTTTCCGAAAATGGAGGGAAGAAAGGTGTGGTGCAGATGTAGTTGTTGAAGGGTCATGAAACCCTTACTGATTTAAAACATAAAGGGCATTTTGGGAAGTTGAGATGGGTTTAGGGATGAATTTGGCTGTAGACTTTGGGCTTTAGCTGAATTTTCTGGGATCGTTTCTCTTCTTCTTTTACATTATTTTGGGTTTCTAATTTAATAACTAATACAATATATATTAAAAAATGATAACTAATGATCTACATAATAAGATATCAATATTATAACCTTGCACTAATATAAAGTACAAATACAAAAATAAGATTTTATAATTAATTAAATAGGTTAGAAACTTGAGAGAAGGCGACAACAAATAGTTATTTTAAGAAAATAAGGTGTAGAAATGAGAATAGTAATTTCGATAATAAAACATAAAATTTTAGTAGATAAATAGTCGTAGTAGTAAAATAGTTGTGGAAAAAAGAAGAAGATAATTTTATATATTATTAATTTAGAAACTCGAAAACAATGTAGCTAGAAGAAAGGAGGGTTAAAATTGGGTGTCAACAGACACGACTAG